GGCCGTGCATGGATGGTGTGGTTATATTTCCTGTCTTAAAAACTGTTCATAGTCAAGATTTAACAGTCATGTACAGATCTTGGCACAGTTTTCTTGTGAAGTCAAAGATGTTTAGCAACCATTACGGCTCAGTCACTGTCAGCATTCCTTTTCAAAATTACTTAATTAGGGAATATGGCGATATTGTAGTCCGCCTTTTTTTCTGACTGCTTAGTTTCTTGCTTTCTTTGTTGGAATCATGTCGCCATGTTCCTGTAACTCACTCATTGCTCTGGAGAGCACAATGTTGTCTTAAAAGATAAGAATGACGGCCAAAGGTATGAAAATGACACCCGCTTTGTTATGAACCAGAATCATCTTTCTTAAATGTGAAATCAAACTTTGAATCAGCGCTCCTACCTTCATTCCACGCTCATTTATATGGCAAATCCTTTTTTATGTGAATGTTTAAAGCGACAGCTCGTGGGCAGTGATTACACCCAACTCATAGTCACAGTCACTGATGTGTGGAAGACAGCAGTGAAAGAAGTCTGCCTCTTGTGTCGTCATTTTCTTTCTCCTTCCTATACTGATGTTTGCCTGTTTGCCTGCTGTGCCCAGAACACATGTTGTCATAACTGTGATCTCCATCTATGTGAATGTCCTCTTCTCTCTCTGTTGTTTACAAGCTCTGAATGTGACACACTGTATAAAATCGCTTTTTGAAATGTTTGTCTGTATTGCACTGAATCTTTTAGAAAACTACCTACCACACACATTTATCGACACGCACCTTTTCTGTTGGATGTTTTTGTTTTCCTGACTTTTCTTCAGAGTTGCACTTTTTTTATTCACAGTGGGGTTGGAATCACTACCGTGTCAGATGTATACATGAAGTCAAAATGGTAGTAGATAAGATATATATATAACCTCTGGTGTTTTTTTAGTCATCTACAGTGAATCCACAATTTGGAAACTGAATTCATTTGAAATGTATTTTGTTTTTATAAGAGTAGGTTTGTCACAAAGTCAGACATGAGCTTGGTGAAAAAGACGATTGTATTGATTTATAAGTATCAGTGTCTTGTTTTCTAATTAAGAAGCTCCATCACACACAGAGTTTATAAAACATCCCAGTAGCCCTCACTGGTCAGTTCTCCTGATGGTTGATGGATGATATTTACTGAAATGACACCAGACAAGAAGCCTTTGTTTACCTCAAAATGCATCTCCTGTTTTATACTTTTATTGAATCCTATTTTAACAAAAGCCTGTCCGGATTTCTGATTCCTCCTCTTTTAATTTTCTGTTAAAGAAATTACACGTTTTACATTTTTCCTGTTTTGTGGGTTAATCCAGCGTAATCTACTTTTCCACAGCACTAGATCTGTCTGTATTCACCAGAGATCGTACAGTGACGTTTTCCTGCTGCTCAAAAAAAGGGCAAAATGTTTCAAAATGGGAAGAGGTAGAACAATATTGTTTAATTTTTTTAGAACTGAAAGAAAGAAAAAACTAGATTTATCTGGAAACAATTCAAACTGGCTCATACCATTCTTAAATTAATTTCAGAGATTTCACTGATTCTGTATTAATTTGGATAATTCTAAGAATTGTTTTATGAGAATTCAGATTCAACAGAAAATTCTTTGCGTTGACCTTGATACTCAAAAAAAGGGAAAAGCAGAAAACAGGAGTTAACTGGTTAAACATTGATGGAGGTTCTGCTGTGGAAATGTACATTATGATGACTTTGCAATGTTAGCTATCAGTGTAGAAGTCTTTCTATCCAAAATCTGATAAATAAGTGATTATCGTTTGTGTTGTTTACTCAACCATTATTTGCGAGCTGACTTCATATTTGAGAAATTACAGAAACGACAACTCCAAAAAAAAAAAAAAAACTACTGTGTCCACTTGATGTAATCCAGGACCTGGGTGTCCGTTCAGATATGTACTTCATAGATCACAGTAGTTTAATCTTATATGGATGTGTGGACCAATTTTACTATCTATACTGTACAATAGACAGAACAAACAGATATTGTTACTTACTGTTAGCTTGCAATTGCCTTGACGTTCAAGATGCTGCATGGTGATTTTATTTTCTGTAAAGATTGTTATAATGTTTTTTTGATACTGGGGAGCTGTTAGTGCAGGGTGCTATCTTCAACACGATCACAATACACCAAAAAAAATGAATGTTTATCAGCCTGCATCCAACCTCCAGGGAACAGCTGGGACTCTGTTTGAGAAATGGTTCTATAAATACAATTATCATGAACCAATAGGAACAAGATGTACCAATTCTATTTCCATAGCATTTGAGCACAAACAAATTAAATTGATGGCAAAATTAGCCTTTCAGCTTTTTTATTTTGGTAGCGGTTAGCTCCACACTTCCTCAAGGACTTCCTCTTTGAAACACTAAACGAAGATCTCTGTCGACACTGGTCCTCTGTTTGTCTCTCTGTTGTATTCAGTTTCAAACAATTTTAGGCTGTGAAGAAACTGGGTTCACAGTTCTCTGTTTTCATTTCAGTAGCATTATTTATGCAAACAGTGTATTTAAGATGTTGATTATATGAATAAATATATTGCATAAATAAAACAGAAGACAATGTTGAGCCTTTGTCTGTTTCTATCTTCGATTCAGTTTTTTCTACGTTTGTTTTGTGTCCATTAAAGGAAGAATTTGCGACTTTTTGATCCAGTAGATGTCGCCCTTGAGCACCAAAACAGACTTCTGTTTGGCCACGCCTCCACTATTCTGAATCCTCCGCTCTCCTCCAGTGACACACCTCCCACCCCCCTCTCCTATAGCATTCGCAAGAAGGAGTTTTCAATTAGTACGCACCATTTTTAAGCACCAGCAGTGGAATCCAGACTAATGTTAGCACACTTTGGTTAGCTCGTAGCTTCATGTTGCACATAAATTGACACAGAATGACTGTGATTGAAACAATACAGCTCCAACAACAACACAGCTGGAGGGACTCATGCTTCTCACTCATTGTAGACAGTCATGACTCAGAGAGACATTTAAAGAGGATAGACTTGATTGTAACTTGTGCCTATTTTGAAACTGTCTCTACTTGTGTGGAACCTATAATGTTAGTTGTATGTAAACTCTGTCTTCAGTTTGAAATTACATTCAGTGTTAGGCTTGAAGGTAAGGCTACGTTTTGAACTTGCACATACTGTAGGTGGTGCAACCAGTGCTGAACTCTGCTTGGCAAAGCAGGCAACTGCTTAGGGCCCCAGACCAGTAGGGGGCCCCAACGGCTGACAAACTTTCAACCAAAGCATTGCCTCAAAATGTGTACATTTGTAGGAAACCTGCCTCAGGGGCCCACCTGACAGCCCTCAGTCTCAATGCCCTGCTCAGTGTTGCAGCATTATTCCAGTGAAAACCAAAATTTGTCAATGAAGGAAAATGAAACGTAGTTATCCGTCTGGGGTGAAAAAAGGAAAATAATAATAAACGCTGGTTGTTGGGGCTCCCTATGAATGTTTTCTTAGGGCCCCAATAGACCCTAGAATCGCCACTGCTGAACTCAAGCCTGTTGAAAAACACCATTGATAAATGAATTATGTGGCTTTTACAGCAGCACATTAGTGTCTTGTTGTTGAGCGCGGGCATCTTAACATAATAACAGCTTCATATATATTGTCTGGAGATTACAACGAGGGCAATTTCACAATCACTAATTTCATCATGATACGATATTATATAATTATTTGGACAACAATGAATGATATTTGCAGATGTTATTAAGTCTATGATTTTGATTCGATTGAGGAGCATGTCGTTTAACACAATCTGTTACATTTAGACAAAAAAAAAATCAATGTTGACAATTTAATTGCTGAAACATTTCTGACATTTAAATAGCAAAACAATCTTCTTTTTTCAAATAACAGATTTGTGCTTACTGTAAAGTTGCGCAAAATATTCTCATTTCAAATTAAGGGGCAATGATAAAACTTTTACCTTTTAAATTAAGAACTTTATGATGCATGTTTGAGTTTCACCATGTTGAACTTAAAGCACCAAAATGTATTTTCCTGCATTGTGATCAATTTGTACATTTTCTGACCATGCTGATCATGATCCATACGCTGTCCTCTTGTGCTTGTTTTGGAATGTGAATACATTTTAACATATGTGGACTTCAACAACTATTGTGTTTCTGCACTATTTTAGCCCTTTATTCTTCATGTAGCTTTATAAAAGTATGTATGCAAAGTGAATGTATGGCTTTATGGGGTTTACTTTAGTTTTGTTTTGCACTTGGAAAAATGTTAAAACCAAATCAATAATTTGATAAAAATCTGTGACACATGGTGATGCAGTGCAGAATTCATTCATTTGGTTTAACTGGAATCTTGCTTTTGATTAATGAAGAGCTCCGTACAACGTTCTGACAGACACATAGTGGCCTCATAACACGAAAGAAAGAGAGCAGCTTTCCTGCTGAATTTCACAAAGAGTAGAATACACGTTAATAATTGCCTCCATACTGATTACCTATATATAGAGATGATTTTTTTAAATAATAATAACCGAGGTCTGGACCTTGATTACCTCCCCCAATCCCCCAATTTCATTCTACCGACATGTGTCTTACTTTTTGATATTCGTCATAAACAATTCGTTTAATAAAATTGCTACATCACCAAAAACTACACAGCTTCTGTTTTGAAAAGTTTCACTTGTGATTCTGCACTCACAGCAGGTGATCATCATAACGTAGCAACGAGTTTCAGGACGGCATCGGCAGTCTGCTTGCCAGTAAGCATTGTCAGGAGAAATAAAAAACTTCTTCTATACTCATCATCCAATAGTGAGTGTTATTCCCAATACTTAAAAATTGTTGTTCTTAAAGTTTCTCAAAATGAAACAGGTGTGACCTATGATGATGATGATGATGATGATGATGATGAAGATGAATTCCAAACTTCAACGATGATCAATGGATCTACACAGAAGAGACTATATGCTTCCTCATTGTCGGAGGCTATATCCAAACCTCAGCACTCCTCGGTTTGGGTCCTCTGACCTCCCTCTTACTCTTCAGAGGCTGCTTCTCTCCTTTACGGGGGTCCTGTCTCTTTGGTGGCTCTAGTCTAGTCTCTCTCACCTCTCCCGGCTCACCGATTATGCCACAGTTCCCAGCACAGGTCCAGTCGGTCTGGTGACCAACCACCAAATCCAAAGTTGGCAGAGACGTGGTGCTGGTCACTTCTCTAAAGCCTAACGAGGAAGTAAGAGAGGGACTGTCTGGAGGGAAGTTTTCATAACCCCCTCTTATACGTGGGCACCCTCTTAAGGACGCCCTCTCCCTCAGCCTCACGACCTGTTTGATCTTCTTCCAGCCCAGGTGATTGAGCTCCAGCAAATTGAGCAGGATGCAGAAAACACCCACGCAAAACATGAAGAGCAGGAAGATGGTCTTCTCCGTGGGCCTGGAGACGTAGCAGTCCACCGGCTGGCTGCAAGGGGCCGAGGTGCACAAGAAATGGACGGGAACCTGGAAGCCAAACAGCTTCCACTGGGCCAGGACAAAGCCCAGCTCCAGAACAGCCCGTAAACACACATGGAAGATGTAACATTTAGACAGAACCCCTCCAGAGGCCATTTGAGTCTCAGCACTGCTCTCTCTTAAGGTACAAATTCTGGCTTTATTCAAGGACATCGTGTTGTTTGTCTCTCCCCTCTGGAGGCTCTGGGTAGGGATGCCTTCCAGCACATCTGCCAGGCTGTGACCGAGGTGCTTATGGGAGCGAATGGAGCAGCTGTCCGAGTCGCAGCTGCGGTCGTAAACCTCTCGCCCGCCATCCCTACCTCCCATCACCGGATTATCCCCTGGTCCCTGCACCTGCCTCTGGGTGGTGTTCTGGGGCAGCTTGGACAGGTTGTGCCAGGTGTAGATGATGAAACAAAGGGACGGTGTGGAGACGCTGATAATGTGGAAGACCCAGAAGCGAGGTTGGGAGATGGGTGCGAACGCGTCATAGCAGACGGTGGAGCATCCCGGCTGCAGGGTGTTGCACACAAACATTTCCTGCTCGTCGGTGTACACGTCCTCAGTTGCGACGGCGACGACGAGCAGCCGGAAGATGACCATGACGGTGAGCCACAGGCGACCGATCATGGTGGAGTGCTGGTGGACGGCGTCCAGGAGTCGCTTGAGCAGAGTCCACTCCGTCATGGTGGCCTGTGGCAGCCGGCTGCCTCGAGGAGGGACGAGCTGCCTGGAGAAGAGCAGTCTGCGCTGGTTTGATCCACCTCTTCTGTTCTCAAAAAAACTATCCGTTTGGACTTGATGACATCTAAACCGCCCTGCAGACGACCTGATCTGGGCTACACTATCCCATGTAATCTACGTTAGCTTCTGTACCTGATTTCACTTTCCATGGCCAAACGTTTCTACCAAAAATCTGAGCGCCATCCCTCCCTGACGGTCGACCTCGGCTCTGCTTGAATGTTTTCCAGCTCTGCCTGGCTGCCTTGAGAGCATTGGAGCCACCGCAATAGAGAGCCAACCCATCTTTCATAGATAAGGACGTCCACTTGACATGAGTCACTTGGCGAGCTCCGTTCTCTCTTGTCTTTAGGATCCATTTTAAAACTGAGAGACATCATCCTTCCTCTTCTGGAGCAGCTGCTGATAGTGCCAGCTGATAGAGCATTCTTCACAGATTAGTCCTCTGGAAGCTAATGGCTTCTTCCATTAATGGAGAGGCATATTTAACATTATGAACATGCTTACTGCCAAATTCTCAACGCATAATTGGTGCTACAAACAGAGCATCAGAAAGTCTATGTACGGAGTAATGGCGCAAAATAGATAAGAAATATTGTTGCTGAAGTAAGGTTTCCTTAAGTTCAGTCTGGTGTCTGGACTTGTTTTGACTGCTCTTCTCCAGCCAGCCACTTGCTAATCCTCTTATCTGTGTTTTAAAAAAAGACCCTTGAAAGGTCTGCTTGCATCAAATCATTTGTCCACAAGATAAAACCCTCAGCAACCCCTTTCCTTACATCAAACAGTTCTGGCAAGCCCTGTCTGAGTGTCTGCTCAGAGCTCGCTGAGACTTTGAATTCACCAAATGAACACAAACAACTGATGTTGCATAGTAGCATTTGGCACAGCGAGTAACAGAATCTGTATTTCTATTTATTTATCTCATGTTTGTTTGTATACGGACAAGTATTAAGCAAGTACCCAATGCAACACAATACAGTGTTAATGTTGCTAAGATATCTGTGATGTCTGTCCCTAGAGGTGCCTTTAAATACATACAAGTCAGATACACAAAAAAGACAAGACAGGATACAAAATATATTACACTTTAAAACAAGATATGTGAGTAAAAAAAGGAAGAAACTGATGTACTGTGATTTTTTGATGCCACCTCCCCCCCCTCAACTTATTTTGCACAATCATTCTGATATATGGGCGTTGTTCTTGTCATTGTGAGAGGACTGTAGGATGAATCTAAGATGGATCTGTGCTTGCAGAGTTGTATTCTTAGAGAGGAATGTGTGGGCCATGAATTCTCTGCTGCACAGCGTTCATTTTGAATGGGATGTACAGTCAGTACTCCATTTTCATGGCATTTGGTTGATATTCTTTTATTTGTTTTGTATTATATTAAGTGCAAATCAGAGTGCAGCTGACAGTGCAGACAATTTATCTCAAGGCCAAATCTCTTATCTTGAGACCTTCCAGCTTTGAGTGTGCAGTCAGGCCGGCAATGAACACTTTTGATTTTAGGCATGGTTCGACAGCACGGTTCTATTTAGTGTGTTGCTTATCTTCCCTGGAGTGTAAAGGGAGTAACTTTTTAATACTTTTTTTTTTCCGGTAATCTTTTATCAGACAACACAAACATAAGCTTTTATAAGGTACAAATATGCGTAGTGCACCATTGCATTGCAGGTCGCTGTGCATCAGTGGTAGAGTCGGCCTTCTCTTAACCAGAAAGTCGAGGTTTCCATCCCAAGCTCCTTCCACCACATGTCTGATGTGTCAATACACACTAGAACAGAGAAATACCAAAGACTAAACTAGGAAACTGTAAGAAACACACAGGGAAGAAAGAGAAAAACTAAAACAAGAACATCTTCACTCTGAAAATACAAAACTAAACCAGACCAAATCATGACATTTTTTTCTACATTCAAAGTACAAACAAAAGAAAATGCACTTCATTGAAAAGCAAAGAAAGCGTATTTGTAACACAGCACAAGTCCCTCCGCTGACAAGGTAAATAACCAGTCAACTTTTAGGTTTTTGGGTTGGTCAATCAGATTTAAAGGGAGGCCAAAGTCACCCCTGGTCACAGCTCTGGAAACGCCCAAGAGTGTAGTTTTCACCTCTAGTTAATGACATAAAAAATGAATAATAGTCTGTCAATTTTTAAACTTTATAACGTCTCAAGCCTAAAAAAAGTGTTATGTTTAACCTCCTTCATAATGATGATAATGACATACATCAGTGAGTTAATATCCAGACAGCCACCTACAGAGCTTTTGTCTACTATAAATCGAGACCGGATTAACATCATTTTCTTGGCTGTTATGGTACCTGATGAAGCGAGCGATCGATAGTCTGGAGAGAGCCGCCTCGAGCAGGATTAAGAGAGGGCCCCAGCCGCATCTAACAAAAGCAAATGGAAGGAGGGGAGGAGGGGGGTTGAAGGTTTCAGAGATCACTGATGTCTGAGCTTGAATCAAGGCTCAGACACATCAGTGCTGCTAGACCTAAAGTTAGAGACAGCGTGCAACAGGCTAGCCCCCAAAAACAACTCAGGAAGAAGGAGCGGCGCATGTCTGGGGCTCTTGTGCTGCTGTCTGTGTCAAAGAAATTGTCTAGCCTCTCAGTCTGATCGCAGAGGAAATCTCAATGGTGTGCGTTCCCTCTGGGCTGTGTCAGGAGCAGCCCTGGAATGAATAACAGACAGGATTAGAGGAAAGCGAGAGAGAGAGAGAGAGAGAGAGAGAGAGAGAGAGAGAGAGAGAGTCAGATAAAGTCCGTCTCTCCTATGTTTAAGAGTTATTTGCAGCAACACTTTCATCTGAGTTTATGTGTAGAGACAAAGACTGGACTATTCATTTGAACAGCGGGGCTTCCTTCAGAGAAAGGGCACTCCAAAACGTATTGTAATCAGTCTGTTTGTCAGTTTCCAAACTCAAGAACTTCAAAATATGCATAGATGTACCCTCACATGATGCAGTGTTTTACTTCATTATCACATGAAAGACATCCGGCCACACTCACATATGTGCAATTTAGTGTCACCAATTTACCTGTGAGCATGTCTTTGGACCGTGGGAGGAAGCCAGAGTACCCGGAGTGAACCAATGCATGCACAGGGAGAAGATGCAAACTCAATACAGAGAGGCTCCTGACTGCACAGTGGTGCAGTGGTGCAAATATAAAACATGAGAAACATCATTTATACATGCAAATTAATAAATAGAAGCATAAAGAACATTTCTTAAAGATATCAGAAAATAAATGCAAAGTGGTATTTTAAATCAACACAAGATAATAGACTTGTTGAAGGCTGACTTTCCAGATGAAGATGCAGCTTTTCCGTAGAAGTCCTTGAAGTTTCCCTTACAGGTGTGTGGTACTGATTCTTGTGAAAGATGGTTACTGTAGGTGAAATAGGTAATGAGCTAAAATTGAACTTTTAAAGGCTTTATATGTGATTTTTCACACTTAAATGTAATAGAAATCAAGTATTTCCTCTGAAAATAACTCTGTGAGTCATGACTGTCTACAATGGGTGTAACACCCGAGTCCCACTGTCTGTGATGCTTTCAGAGTTTTCAGAGTCCTATCTTCAGTTTGTTTACATCGCTCGGATGGCCGGCTGACTCCTCCCCTCGTGTATAAAAGTTGTTTAATTGAGGGACTAGAGAAAAGAAGAATAACATACTGTACTCACTGCTTAACTGTGTTTCTAGATCACGCTCATTTCAGGTAAATTTACATGCAGTGTGAAGATACCAGCATAATAAAGATCACTAGCATTAGCATGCTAACACAACAATGCAGCGCGAGTTGTTTCGGTTTCATGCTGGTGCTCAAGGGCGACATCTGCTGGATCAAAAAATCTCATATAAAGCCTTTAATCAATTATCATGTTCATTTAAATGAGGAAGTTCCTTTACATTTAGTTTTCCTGTCTTATAACAAACACAACAACAGCACACAAGTCTCTTGTCCCTCCTCCACTGCTGTGGACATTCTCATAGGAGCAGGAGGCCGGTGAAAGGCTTGCTCTACTGTCAGCCTGGTAGCCCCCAAACAGGATTAAGGGAGGGTATGGTTAGATGGTGCTCCCGCTTGGTGTAATTCACCCTGATGTGATTTCCATTTGTCTGGCCTGGCTCCTACTTTCCCCTCCTTCTAATCCTTCACTATTCTCACCATCGACGGTGAGCCGGGCTAATCTGCTGGCAGAAGGAGCAGAGGCGTCCATGCATAGACTCTCTCCGATAAAACTCACAGGACTCGCTGGTTAGTTTGGCTGGTTTACACTCTATGGGAGCACACACCTTCTCTGAGTGTTTGTGGACATGAAACTTGTGGTAAGATTGCTGTTAGAAACGTGCAGTCACTGTAGGAGCTGTGTGAGGCTGCAGGATTAGCTGTCATTAGCTCTATTGTATGTGTGATTGGCTCTGCAGATCAATGTGGTATGTAACCTGTCAGTGCTTCTCTGTGACTAACGTGAGTTTCCATGAGTTTGATAATATTTTTTTTTTTTTTTTTTTACAATTGAGGTAATCAGAGCAACTCAGTATTTTATTATGCAGGGTTAAAGTTGTTCATTTGGACGAGAAACATTTAAGCCAGTTAAGAACACTTTCTGGTGTAAACAGTACAAGTGTCTGTCACCTCTTTAGATAACGGTAAGCACATTTTACATTTCAAAGCTTTGGGAAATAATTCAGTTCATTGATGGATTATTTTTCAATCTAATTTTGAAAAACATTGTTCTTTCCCAAAATGTGTTTAAACCAATAAAGTCAAAAATATTAAACTCTCTATTAAGTGGACAGGATAATACGACCCTGACTAGAATTGTATCAAATTATGCTATGACTATATTTTCATTGGAAATAGGTTCACAATTTCTTACTGGACTGACATAGTTTCGCTGTGTTTTTTAGACTCGTAAGTGTGATTATTGTTTTCATTATTTTTTTGTCGTTAGGGGTCGATAATGCAGACGTACACTCCAGTCCTGTTTTTTTTTTACATTTTAATATCCTTTATTAATCCCCCGACGGTAAATTCGGTGGTTACATGGTTACTGTGTTAGCAAGCAGCTGCCTATTTACACGTCCTTTTTTTACACAGAAATTCACAAGGTTAACATTCATTTAAATTAGGCTGCTGTTCACTCTTCTTTTAGCTCTGGGTTGGTCTCCACCACTTTGTCTGTCTACACGTACGGGAACAGAGAAGAGCTTTTTAATGAATTAGAACACATAAGCAGGATTTAAACTGTTTAAAGCTGCACGTCAAAACACTATAGCTCTGTAACACTTTACAGGGTTTTTAATGCTCTGTGGCTTCACCAACACAACAAACAGCATTCAGAGTTAAAGTTAGTCCGTTGGTAACTGAGCTCGTTCAACAACACGTCTATTAACACAGACAATCTGCTGGCTGGTTTCAATGAAGCAGATATTTAAAAAAAATACTCAGATAAACTTTGAGTTTTAAAAAGTGTTGTAGTGAGGTACCACAGAGTCTTCACAGAGGCCTGGACCAAAACGTGTAGCCAGAGCGCTCGTTTAGGACACTGACAAAATGTTGTTTGTGTAAAAGTTCTTACCCTCCTCAAAACCACAAATTTTTATATCTGCACATCTGTTCAATCAATTAATCAATCAATTTTAATTTGTAAATTGCCAATTTATAACAACTGTTTTCTGAAGACACTTGAGCAGGTCTAGCCCATAGACTGAAAATATTAATGGACGAAGCCTGAGTGACGTCAGCCACCTGTTCCTGCAGGGGGCGCTGGAGGCTCATCGGCAGCAGCCGCCATGCTGGAAATGCTGTCTCAGCCTAACGTTCAGTCAACCTAATGATCGCGCCCACCTGTCAATCATGTCAGCTACACGCCTAACTATGGATAACACTATCCATAGTTAGATAACATATCATTTTCAGAATCTTAAAAAACGGAGCCGTTTTAAAAATCTTCACCTCTGTACAGTGTGTGCAACTAATCAGACCTATTTGTTTTATTGTACCAGGCTGTAAACATGTTTATTTATGCTGTTTTTTTGCCAGTTGTGTGTATGTCAGCACATACTGTAGTTTTCTGCTACTAAAACCTGTCAGATAAAGGAGCTTGTAATTCCTCTGCACCGCAGGAGATGAGAGACCAGAGCCAGCTGGCCCTGAACCTCGCCATGGTTGTTGCTTACCTCTAACCTGGAAAGTTTGATCACATCTTGTGAGAACGGTTCCATTAGCTGAGGCTCGCGTCTCAACCAAAGACATTCTATCGAAGGTTACTGTTTGGTAGGCATCGTTTCAAATGTAAATTACAAACAAGGACACGAGTGACACAGACAACCTGAGCAAGCTCTCCCCAGCACTCTCTAAATCTGAAGTCAGCAGGAGTTTGACTTGATTAAAGATTTATCCTGAGAAGAGGCCAGCAGGAGTTCTGGGTAGCACCTGTAACTGTTTCGTCGTCTTTACACGTCCTCTTTAAATAACTGGAATTACTGCTACAGCAGTGAGGTCTGAGTTGGACTTAGGAGAAAGCTTCACAGTACTTATTCTGTAATGTACAGTGCTGAGGTTTATTTTGCATGTCCAAAGTGACTCAGTGACGGTGTTAATGCATCAGTATTTATACTTTTCAGGAGCTCCAGTTTACTCGCTTTCCATGTTTAATACAGGTCCTGTATATGTGGAACTATTGTTGCCCACAACAGTAAGACATATAACTGGTCACAACATGCCAACCTGAGGACGTCTCTCAGATCTGAGTCTTCCACAAAAAAACATCAATTTAGCAAGAGCTGTTGTTATTCTGTTTAGTTTCCTCCACATCTCGGCTGACTTTGGTGATGTGGTAGCTCACTGACATCAGTCTGTTTACCTCGTAGGTGGAAGCTCAACCTCAAAGTCAATCAGTGCTACTGAAGATAAAATGCTACGTGAGACGTTAAGGTGGAGGGCATGATCAGTGAAACCGTAACTCTCCTGGCAGCTTTTTAACTCTAGTGTTTTCCTTTGAATAAAGTTTGTGTATTTAGTTCAGAAATTTAAAGCATAGAGTTGTTTCACTTCTCCAACTTTCACATTTCACCACCAAATCTACATAGTGCACCTTTAAGATAGATCAAATGTATTCTGAAGAGCACTTCAAATCTAAAAGTAATCTTTTTGGTTTGTGGTTTGGTTTGAGATAATGTCAAAGATAAAATGTTTAGACACGGAGAACTGTTAACTGTTATAATCTTCATGAAACCACAAACATGATTGAAAATGCAAGCGTTTTTATAATAATGTTAGAGAAAACATTAAACTAAAAGGAGCTCTCTCTTAAGTGATGGTTTCGCTGCTACATTAATGGACTGATAATGAATTTGTTCATATTTGTTGCTGTCTGTCTCTTTGTGTCTGATGACAGATTCTCCTGACATGAGTAAATGGCCCCTGATATAGCAGAGATGACAGCAGAGGAAACACTGGACCAATGGGTGTCCAGCCCTGTGGGGGAGCTAAAATTAACCCCTGACCAAGAGCTCGAGGAGGAACTCCACAGATTCAACCAAGTGACCGACTATCACACGGACACGCCCAGTGAGGAGCGTACAGCAATCAGTGAGAGGTAACACACAGGTTTTATCAGGGAGAAAAAAAAAACTTGTTCTAAGGGGTTAGAGGGCAAAAAGCATCACAATAATTAAGATCATTTTTTCACCGATGCTGTCTTAAGTCAAACTTGGATTGTCTCATTTATATGTATGTTTTTAAATGCTAGGAATGACGAGGAAGATCTGTTATTCTTTTCTCTTCTTTAAATATAGAACAATAAAATATACATCATAAAGGAAAATGCAACAGATTTAGAGAATCATCAAAAGCAATTACAGATACTGCTGAGTGACTGCAGGGGCAGGTATGGCTTACTCTCTGCTTTGCATGTAAACATAACCAGAACATATTAATGACTATAATCCTGCCCTATATCTGAAACTATTTCTTGAGCTCTAGATACTTAAAATGTGAATTTAAACCCTCTTCAGTAAATCTTAGGTTTTTATTTCCAGGATTCTAAATCAGAAAGTTATAGGGGTAAAAAAAATAATTCCTCCAAGTCTATATAATGTAACACTATACTAAACTATTGCACAGAGAAATGACTGAAGCTTTTATACTGAGGTCAAGATTCAACTGATATGTGGCATAAATAACTAGGAAGTGTATGGATACTTTGTCTTAACCATTGAGTCCCAACCCAGGGTCCGGGCCCCCTTAAGGGGTGCCAAAATGTGTCAAGGAGGGTGCGAGGCTTTTCCTCATATGAGGTTGTCAAATTGGAATTGCATCTATTGTAGGCCTATTCTGTCTGGATATCTTTTCTAATGAAGACAATTCAAATTGATATTGATTTTTGACAGCAATGTTTCCCTTTTTGTCATGCTGGTGAGATAGGACAGTGGATGGAGTCAGAAATCAGGGAGAGAGGGAGAGTAAGGGAATGACATCCTGAAAGGGAGCCACAGAACGGATTCTAACACGGGGTCGCCCGCTTGAAGGACTCTAGCCTCCACACGTGGGGCACGCGCACTAAGACTATTTTTCGGAATGAGAATCAGAATCAGAATATTAGAATTGCACTAAGGGTTGAATAAGTGAGCCTTGTAGACTTGTGGCTAAGTCGTTCTGCTTTAGTTGAATGACAGATAAAGAGTAAGTCATAAATCTACAGTCAGACAGAAACAGTCAGGTCAATGTTAGCATCCAGCTCACATACACACACTCTGCTCGCCCTCTGACATGACAGTTGTCTGTGCTGGTCTGTGCAGTGAGGAGGTGATCTGCAGGATCTGCCATGAAGGCGGAGCCTCGGGGGAGCTGTTGTCCCCGTGCGAGTGCTCTGGAAGCCTGGCCATGGTGCATCAGGCCTGCCTGGAGCATTGGCTGACCGCCTCCAACAGCAGCCATTGTGAACTCTGCCACCACCAGTTTGCATTGGAGCGCCTGTCAAAACCTCTGACTGAGGTAGGCTTGTCATTGTTCCTCCACACAATGCTTCTCTGCACACATTTCTTAAAATGTTTTATTTTTAGTTAAAATATATCAGATGGCAATTAAAAAGAAATATGCACCGTGGCTGTGCAGTGGTTAGCACTGCAAGAAGTTTCCTAGTTTGAATCTGAAAGACAGCAGCAGCATTTCTGTGAGGAGTCTGGATGTTCTCTGTGAGCTTGTGTAGGTTCTCTGCAGGCTCTCTGGCTTCCTCCCTCGGTCCACAGACATGCATCCTTAGGTTAATTGGTCACTCTTAATTGCCTACAGGTATGAGCATAAATATCTGTCCATCTCTCTGTATGTCAGTGTCTTGGTAACACAACAACAGACAAAAGGAGATTGATGTCTTGTGGGTTAATACCATTTGCAACATATTACATGTGAAATTCTAAAGTTTTGAATCATAATAAATCTGTGCTAATAGGATATCTAAACCTCTTCCTGTTGTAAGATTGTAAGTATTGTCCCAAAAACATGCATGGCATTTTCATCCGACAGTCAGTGTAGAGACAGAATATGTTAAATATGATCCTATGTTGCATGACATGTATACTTCCTGGTCGTTAAAGATCAGAGTGGATATAGTTAAAAATCTTAAAGTGTTTGTTAAAGAAAAAATTACAGATACATTTTTTTAACAGTAAACAGAAAGTTATCAGCATTCTGAAAGGCAACACACAAAATGTATTTCTAAAAAACCTGCACGCTCCATTCAAGCTTCTCCTGCAGCCCTGTTGAATGACTGACTGCATTGAGCTAGAGCAAGAGAAGAAAAAAGCTCAAACATTCCAATAGAAAATAATGCAGGTTAAGTTTGCAACACTTTTGCTTAAATAGTTACCCCTCTTAAAATAAACATTTGTTAGACCAATAAGCAAAAGGGAAATGGTTTGGTTAGGATTATTATTTGTGGACCAGTATCAGTTGCGTATGTTTGCCTTTAGATTCGAGTAAAGGTCTAGGTGTAGCTCAGCTTGGCAAAACTTCTGGAAGGAGAGCAAAAGAGCTGGCTTGGCTTTTGAGCTTTCAAAAAGAGTGCATTCCAAATTATTGCACGATTCATTGAATGATTACACGCCCCAATAAAATACTAATTTACTTTTAAAGTAAAATTAAAATTAAAGTGTTTTTCTTTTGATATCCAATGACCTGTTTTTTTTTAGTCAATAATGAGACAGCACATGTCACAGTCAGAAGACGTGTAAACTCATGCAGCCTTCATGTTGGACAACCCGCTGCTGCCTACTGGACTGCTGGAACCCATAAAGCCACTTAGTCTGAGAGCCAGATTAGATGGCGTTTTCTCCCCTTGCTGCTCTGTAGAGGACAGAACAGTTGAGTGTATTAGTGGCCTCTTCCACTTCCTCCTCATTGTGCTGCATGTGTGGTCACGGCCACTAATCTGCTAATTAAGCACCACGTGCTCTATGTGGTTAAGCTACAGTGAACAGCAGAAGCCTTCTGTCAGCCAGTGACGGACACATGCACTGATACACATGCATACTTTGCATTGGTGATGAAGTGCAGCTGTCCAGGAGACGAGGAGGTGTGTCAGTCATCTCTGACTCAACAACACACTCACACAGAAATTCCCCTGTTACAAAACGGTAAACAACTGGCAGTAGGGTTGCCAGGAAGTTACTGTAAAATTAACGATATATTGCTGTTGCTGAAATTACAGTTTTCTACCGTTTTTTAAATACAGCAAAAAGCTGTTATTTTAAACAAAGAAAATACACTTTAAGAACATGAAGGTTAAATAGGCAAAGAATCTCGCACAAATATTTACATTAAGGCATTTAGCAAAGGCCATTTCCAATGTATATAAAGTGCATAAAATAGTTTTGGTAGTTAAATTTAAACAGAGAAGTGAAAAAAAAATTCTGTTATAGTTTCATAAACTGAATAAACAACCTGTCTACTGTCCTTTCAACCATGTGGTCTCAACTTCTTTTTCCCAAAATGCTTTGCAAAAATGACGGTAAATTACCGTTTTGTTTCCTTCAAGCAATAATGCCGTAAAATATTGTTATAAACCGTTATAATACAGTAATGTCCTGTATTTAAACATAACAGGATCATACTGTTGAAATCTCCTTGTTAATTACAGCAGGCTCTGCACACATTAAATACTAGCAATGACGATATGCATTTATCATTTATTCCCAGGTACAGACTCAGTTTGTAATACAATTCTGAAATATTGTGATAAAAAAACAATATTGTGGTTGGTTAGTATTGCTTATTGCCATTTTCTTTTCTTTTCTAAACCCAAACAAAACTTAAATCATACCATAGGTGTTTGAGTAGAAAATAATATTTCCAAAAACATGTCAGTCAGCAGCAACATACTGTTTCCCCAGATCTCTGTGATCATTATAGAATATAGAATAGAATATATCTTTATTGTCATTGCTATAAAAACAACAAAAAAGTGGCAACCACACACACACACACACACACACACACACACACACAGACGGACGGTAAAAATGTTAACGTAAAGACAAACATTAGATCACATCATAAAAACAAGAAGAAAGCTCTGGGAAAGAAAGTGCAAAAAGTGCAAAGCAGCTGTCAGGTTCAGTACACTTTATAATCATCTGACGAGCATCTTTTTTCTTTTGTTCCCTGGGCAACAAGTCCAACCCACTCTAAGATATGACTGTGGGTGACAGTAGCTCCGACTGAAGAGACCTGGTTTGGGAACTGATGGGTCACTGTTCAAGTCCTAGTTCAGACCAGGTCAGGAAATATGGACGGGTCACTGATTCCTGTCTGTGATGTGTACTGGGAAAAGAAAAGTCATATTGCATTGGATCTAAATAAGAAAGTCTATAAACATATTTAAAACCTTTTAAATGCATCAATAAACTTAGTACATAACCGACTATAATAGTCCCTGTAATGACCACCATGTACTACCAAACAGTTGTTCTAATATACTGTGGCCCCTGTTGGTCTCACAACCCGGATTTATAAAATGGGATGGTGTTTATTTGATGTTTATTTACTTGATTGTAATTTGACTATGTTGATATGAAGATGTCTAATCATATAACATGTTTATAACGGTATGTATATTTATATGTATTATAGTTTAAGGTAATGTGATGTTTATAATACTTCTACTGTCTTATAAAAGTATTCCTGCTCTCTGTGATTCTCACTACTGCACAGATCAGGTCTGGCTTTGATCGCCCCCTGCTGGCCAGATGCTGTATTGTCTGTAAATGTCAGTTCTTGAGTTCTAAAGCCCCGTCCCCTTGTGATAATGTCATGATACCCGGGGTGAAGTCGTCTTTAATGATTCTTCTGTTAACTTGTCTTCTTTCTGTCTCTGCACAGTGGCTGGGTTCTCCCTCTGTGCAGCAGCAGAGAAGGACGTTGTGTGGAGACGCAGTGTGTTTCCTGTTCATCACGCCGCTGGCCAGCCTCTCAGGATGGCTGTGTGTTCAGGGAGCCAGAGACCTCTACAACACCAACGGCATGGAGGCTCTGGGGCTGCTGGTCCTCACGCTGGCCCTCTTTACCATATATGTCTTTTGGACTGTGGTGCGTTCAGGGTCTAAAAAAATGATCATTCAATTTAAAGTCTAATCCAGCTGTGTTTACACATACAGTAGAGCCCCTGTTTGCAGAAGCTAATAAACACGCTAGTACTGCTGTGGAAGGGGTCACAGCACAGCATATTTTTGCCATCTAAAAAACCTTTAAAATAATCAAATTGAAACGATGTTTTGATACTTTTGTCTGCTCAGTTTTCATCACCAGAGGCGCTGCTTGTCAACAGGCAAGGCAGGCAACTACTTAGGGCCCAAGGCCAGTAGTAGCCCCCCCCCCAACAGCTGACAGACTTTAAACCACAGCATCGCCTCAAAATGTAAACATTTTGCAACGACAGTAAGAAACCTGCCTAAGGGGGCCCCACCTGACAGGACTCAATCTCAATGCCCTGCTAAGCTTTGCAGCATTATTCCTGTGAAAATCAACATTTTTAGTTATCCGTCTGGGGTGAAAAAAAGGAAAATAATAATAAACACTGGTTGGAGGGGCCCCCCAATGAATTTTTGCCTAGGGCCCCAACAACCACTGGTCATCACACATTTTAACCATACAACTCTCATTCTTGTGCATGCAGATAACTGACACTAACTGTTGCCAAGTAGATACAATAAACTATAAAAAAAAAAAAAAAAAAAGATTTACTGGAATATGCTTATCTGTTTCACAGGTGTCTGTGCGCTACCACATGCATCTGTTCAAGACGTGGAAGAAGACCGACCAGAGAGTGCGACTACAAGTTCCCCTGCAAGCCCACAACACACTAAACCAACAGACGCTGTCCGTAAACATCCCCGGCAAAGCCTCCAACAAGGAGACTATGGTGTAGACCCGAGTCTACGATCCTAAGCAACGCTTCGATGTAAGGACGGAGGGGAACAAAGAGCAAGACACATCCTAAATGAGCAGCAGATTTAATGAAAGGGTTGGAAGATTCCCATTAAGAGCTGGAGGACAATTGGACTAATCTGCCTTCTGTTAAAGTGTTCAATAACAGGGGAACTGCTGACACAGCCTGGGAGGAAGGATTGCTTCCAAGGAGCAAAAGCTCAGACTTTTCACAACCTTTGTGTCTTACAGCGATGAAAAGTAATTCAGGAGAGTCGTTCTGGTTGTTTGTGGTTTTCAATGATCTTCTGATCCACAGTGACGGTCGCCATCAAGATTTCTTGAGACAAAGAAGTCTTGGATAAATCTCATCTGGTTATTCATTCACAACTGATGACAATCTGCGCAAACTTAACACATGTGGTATCTTAATTTTTTTTTTTTTTTTTAAGTAGTGAAGAAAAGCTGCCCTGATGCCACTCACTGTTTCACACACTGATCAGAGAGAGTCCAGTGGTAAATGTTCAATCAGGCAGTTTGGAGGGATTTACAGATTTCTTTGAAGCAAGGAATGATAAATGATAAATGGACTTGAGCTTGTGTAGCACTTTCTCGTCTTCTGACTACTCAAAGCGCTTTTACTCTGCAGGTCACACCTCCACATTCACACACTGATGGTAGAGGCTGCTGTGTATTGAGACCATCAGAAGTAATTCACCCCATTCATACGTCAGCCGATGAAGCAGCGGGAGCATTTGGGGGTTAAGTGTCTTACCCAGGGGCACCTCATGTCGCTGCAGGAGCTGGGGATCGAACCCTGGACCTTCAGGTTGAGAGAAACGACGGTCCCGCCCACAGAGCCACAGCCTCGGTTACTGTAACCTTTACAGTTTTCTTATTTTTAAATAGTTCACATTAGAAATTAATCTAGTTGCCCAAACTCCTTTTTGGAAAATAAAATATGAATTGTGATCTTTTTACAAACAACTTTTTGTGTGAACGATCAGAAAAGTTAGAGGACAGTACAGCAACACATCAATGTGTTTTTAGTAGTAACTATCTGGATGATTAGTAACCACTCAAGGAAAAAAGAGAGAAGTTCAAACTTTTCAGATATTTTTTGTGTGAATCAAAACTCGACTGAAAATCCCGTCCAGCTCCAAACGGCCACCTGATACTGAAATCAAACATTCAATAAAACAAAACCAGTGTTGTGACTTAACAGTACTTGAGACTTTATTATTCCAACAGTTTTATTTCTCTCACACATACACACACACACACAAATAAAATAAAATGTTATCAAGGCACAGTTCACAGCTTGTCTTGTGCAATTGAAGAATCGCGGACAGCAGGAGATGGAGATGCGCTCACATAACGGCACAGCTCACTTCCTTAGACAGATCCTGAAGAGAACAAAGCTTAAGTTAGCACATGTTATCAGTTTCAAGCATTCAGACACATGCTGGGGTCATATTAAACTTAAGATGTAACATGCAGTTAGGGAAGGGACAGAGAAATACTGGGGGCCATTTTGAACACACTGACGTTTGTGAAACATCAGCAAGTCCACACCATCTGATCAGTACGTTTCATTTTCACTGACGGACTGCTGTTTGAGACATGAAACTTTTTTAACCAAAAACCTTCCCTAAACTCAAAAAGTGCATCTTTATCATCTCCTTGGCTAGTTTTCATATGGAATAATATTCTAAGCTTATCACCTTTGAGTAAGATATTTTATTCTGGCATCGTTTCATTATCTGTAAGAAAATAATAGCTATATATGCAGTGTTGCTCTGATTTAAGACATAAACATTATTCAATCTAAACTTTATTTATATAGCACCTTTCAGACAAATTAAATTGCAGTTCAAAGTGCTTAACAAGACTGCAGAGAAGTTATTGACAAAAAAAGTAGTTTATAAAATCATTGAGAGACTAATGCACACCAATAAGACTTTAAAATAAATCTATGTATAAAATAAAAATAAAAATAAAATAATAATAAAAAAAGGTATTCTGATTTGCCTCACTTTAGAATCTTAGCTTAAAAATGTAAAAAATAATTATGCCATCAAGTCGTTTGTCCGACAGAGCACTCTTTTAGTCTCAAGACCAAGGCCTCGTATAGGAATCGAAAGCATTTTTACTCGGTCTTGTCCCGGTCTCGGACTGGGCGGATTTAGGATTTTAAATCAAGACCGGTCAAGATTCATCAGTTACTGAGCGTATGACCCCTACCCGCCACCGTATTATAGACATTTATCAGTCTACAATATACAGACATTGTAAATCATGCCCAAAGCAATTTTTCATTGTATGATCTGCAAAGTCAGATTTAAAGGTCACATATTCTCCTCCTTTCCAACAAGTTTCAATAAGTCTCAGAGCTCCACAAAAAATGTCTGGGAAGTGTCTTGATCAAATGGAGGATCAGAGTGGATTTAGAACATGCCTATAAACCCCTCTATTTCAGCCCTGCTCAGAACAGGCTGTTTCTGTGTCTGTAGCTTTAAATGCTAATGAGCTGTGTCTGACCACGCCCCCTCTCTAATAGGCGATGTGACTCGAGCTTTCCTCGCTCCATGTCCTATTGTTTACGGTGAGAAGGAGAGACTCAGAGGGCAGAACAAACACCTAGCTGTGGGAGGGGTTACTGCCCTTTGTGATGTCATGAAGGGAAAATCTGTAAACTACCCGTTTGAGCACACATTTTCTGAAAAATGGAGCAGGCAAAACACTGAGGATGGACTGTTCTCATAGTTAGGAGGTTTGTAAACTGACTAGGAACACATATTAGTGTTAGAAAAACATGGTAAAGTGTAAACATGACGAGTTCAGAGATTTCTTCAGATTCTCAGGATCTTTAATGATGTAATGTTCTGTAGACAATGAAATACAAAGTATTTTTGCGACTGTACGTCTATAGACATTATTCAATAACTGCTGCATCATTTACCAGCATCAGAACTCTCAGACGTATCATAACTAGCCAACCTGCTGCTGGTTAACCTTATCAAAATAATATCATTTTTGCAAAAATACATGCTCTGTTTCAAAATCTGATATGTTGTCTTTTTGCAATTTTCAATCAAATACAGGGTTTCAAAGTTTTGCAACACCCCTCTTTTGAAAACAGGGGTGTATAAAATGTTTTCCCTCAGCTGAAAACTTTTATAGGGAAAAAAGTTAAAGAAAGGACAGATTGAGAACTCATAATGTCACCTCCTCCTGATCAGGTTGGTTATTAAGTTACAAAAGGTGAAAGGAAACAAGCCTTGTGAAACTCAAACATGTCTGATTAGTTTCTTAGCTTTGTGGTTAAACTGAGTTGTTTTGCATGTTGGCGACTAAAACGCACAAGGCAGCAGCAATTAAATCATGCAATGAACAAGCCATGCACCTGTGCACATCAGGAACAAGCAGATGAGCGGCGGGTAAAAGCCTCCTCACCTACCGTACTTCAAACTGTGCTCGGTATTCAAGAGACAGAACAACACTTCTTCTTTCTCTTGGGCTTCAATGTAGGCAAGAAAAGAAAGTGATAAAAATTCATAGACAACAGTATCTGTGTTTGTATCTTCATGTCATGTAGAGGCTGAGTGAGAGCAACCCATTCAGGTCCCATTTCGGCCCCTTTTTGGGTGAAAGCAGTCTATCCTTTTTGGGTAAGGCTTCTGATTTTTTTAAAAATCACCTGCCAACACAAACGCAGGGCATGTTTTCACCCAAAAGGGGGCGTGGTTGCTTTGGTAACTACGGCGTAATGTCTGACTGCTCGCATCACTTGGACCTGTGCTGTATTTGCTTCTTGCATGAATCAGTGTGGTTACCTGTCTGCGATAATGCTGGATGTCACTGCCCGCAACAAATTCTTCATCGAACTCCAGTTCAGTTTCCTCTTCACCTCTGCCCTGCAGACACACCCGGCGCTCAGCTATTTTCTGAAAAGGTGTCACATGAGCCTACTGTGAGTTACATCCCTTACTATTTGATATGAACTAAACTACTGTATATGTAGAGAATAAACTCTGCAGCTTCACAAGCTAAAAACCATGTTTGATCCAGTCATTTTCTCCCCCTAATCAGAGTTAGGGCAGCTATTGTTGAAGTGCAGAGCTCTGGCTAATGCAAAACATAAATTACCTATACACTACAGCAGTGGTTCTCAAACTATGGTACGCATACCACCGGTGGTACGCGGGCTCCCTGTGGTGGTACGCAAAGAAATCTCCACAATATAAAAAACAAACCCGTTCAGCATAAAACACACTTTTCTTTTTGTCATACTCTTATCTGTCTTGTATCTATTGAGTTGTATTTATATCAAATGTGTTTTCCCCTCTAAATTAATCTAGTTTTTGCAACAAACAACTTTAATCTGCTGAATTTATGCTCACACACAGACATAAACAACAACAGGAGTACGCCTCGTGTTTTGAAAAGTTCCACTCGATATTCTGTTATATTTCAGAACTGAAACAACAGAAAGCAGCTGTAGGTCTACATTAACAGATATTCTGTTATTTATTGGAGTTCAGCACAGAAAACTAAAATGAGAACAGGTCAGAAATATACTTGGGCCCAGGTGTCTATTAGTGGGAAACACTGGAGACTAAATATTCTCAAACAGGTTGTTGGTATAAAGTTGTCATTTTTATTGTTCTGCACTTTTGTGTGTGCCAGTTCTAGCACTAGCCCTTAGTACAGTGTGGCTGCCAGCAGTCAATAATAAATAATTTTCTTTTTATGAATTAATTTGCCTCTTGCATGAAATGTGTGTTGACAGTGTATTTTAACGTCTACCATCATGGTGGTACTTGGAGAGCCAAATCTTTTCGGAGGTGGTACGCAGTCTAAAAAGTTTGAGAACCACTGGACTACAGGTTCTTCAGTGTGGAAGTGTTGTGTACTGTTTGGGTGCTTACATGCTGTGCTGTCAACATTTTAAATGAGTACAAGAGATCCTTTAAAGGAAGTCATAAACAATCAAGAAGACAATTTGGAAACTGATGTCACAACATTGCCCCAATCACCACATCTAACAGAGTGTACAGGTGCATTGTGGGATGCGTAGTTTGCTTCACTTACCTCATGGTTGGGGTTTAGAAGGAGCACCCTTACATCAATGATGGGGCCCCAGCTCCTGTGGCCCTGAAGAATCAGGTCTCTAGAATCAGCCTCAGCACCTGCACCTTCTGCCCAGATCTGACGTGTACACACACACACACACACAAGTTCAAATTCATATACAACCCTGTTCCCAAAAAAAAGTTGGGACGCTCTTTGCACAAGGAACAAGACAGAAAACCAAAATCAGAGAGTTCAGGCCCAGAGGCTGCATGAAAACAGACGATTCTGAAGTGCATGGGCTCCAAAAAAAAGCATCGTCTGTGAAAACAGTTCATCTGAAATGTTAACTACATTTCTGTCATAAAACAAGAAAATCCTACATAAACCAGATCCCAAATTTCTGACACCTTCCCTAAATCCAGATTCATTTAAAAATCGACAGAAGCAGGTGGAAAACTGTCCTGTTGTTTGACAAGACAAACTTGAAATTACTTTTAGAATCATGACTAACACACCCTCTGCACTAAAGAGGAGAGATAAAAATCGGGCTTTTCATCAGTGCTCAGTTAAAAAAAACAACAAAAAAAAAAAACAGCATTTTTGTGATGGTATGGAGTTGAATGGCATTCCAAGCAAAATATTATGCCAAGTACACAAGATATCTTCGAGGAAGCCTTGATTATTTCAGCAGAACATGTCAAACCACATTCCACACATATTACAACATGGCTGCATAGTTAAAGAGTCTGGGTGATAAACTGGCCTGCCTGAAGTCCTGAGCCGTCACCCATATTTGGCCCGATATGAATCGTAATCGTTTTTTTAAAAAGGACACACTGATCTGTTGAGCAGTTAAAATCTTTCATTAAGCAACAATAGTACACATCCCACAAGTATCCCCACTTCTTAGAAATATATTGATGGAATCAAATTCAAACAGGCAAAATCATTTTCAAAAACAGTTGAATTTAAAAAATCTGGCACCATTTAAAAACAGCTCGACCAACTATTTCCCCCTGAATGGTTTCCTAAAGTTTGCAATTCACAGAGGAACAAACAGGAAGTAGTTCAAAGTAGTTCCTCACTGTGAGCGTATCTCCACAGGCCAGAACACAGGAGGGGGGGATGTGGAAGGAGATGTCCCCAGAGTCTTGGTAAATCTTACGAACCACCCAACCACCTAGCTGCTGCTCCTGGAATTGCAGTGAAGAGAAGAAATAAGCATCATTCATTTCAAGGTTCACCAATAACTTTGAAATTATAAATTATGGGTTTATTTTTAGTGGATAGAATCGGAAATCAGGGAGGGTGGAGAAATTAAGTGCAGGAAAGGAGTCACAGGCTAGATTTGAATCTTAGCCTGCACCAAGAACAACAGCCTCAGTACATGGAGCATGCAAACTAACCACTAGCGCCCAAAAGTTCTTTTTTTCCCTCTTCTGACACTTTGCAATTCAGAATGGATTCAGCAGATATGAAAGACGTAGATTTCGTATTTTAATTCAATGCACTCGCTGCTTATTCCCTCCATTTGATTGGAATTGTTTTAAGTGAGACATGAAATCTTTTCTTCTCCCAATCAGAATAAGCGTGAAGTTCTTTATTACAAACACACATACTCTAGATGAATGTTGTGTGCTTATGCTTTGTCTGGTTGCTGCACCATGTTAGGGACTTCTGTCAACAGCGTTCTGATTTAGAGGAGCAGATGTTTAGAGTCCATCGGTGTTGATCGTTGTAGAGGTCAAATATTTTAAATTTAAATACCAGTGTCTTTCTCCCTGAACCCACAAAGAATGGTTATGACGTCAGCTCTAAAAAAAAAACACTGGATCCTACATTTCCCACAAAGCAAACAAAGAAAGTAAGAGAAAGTGAAACTAATTCTCAATTCTAGAAAGATCTTTCACCTTCTCAGAGTTGTTCTTCAATCGTATATATTTGCCTTCCATGTCTATCTCTGCCACGCTAACAGCACTCTGCTCTGTAGCATGACTCGACATTTTGTAGGCCGGTGAGCTGCCGGAGGCTCCTTCATGTTTCCGTTTCTTTCCTCTTATTCTGCGGCTGCTGTGATCGTGTGTCCGAGGTACAGCTGTGCGCTGGGAGGGGCTGGGTGACAGATGCAATCTGAGAACAAAAAAAAGAAACAACAACATAGGAACAACGTGGAGTAAGAGACGAGAGAACAGAGTACGAAGCAATGTTTTAAATTTGCACATGTTCACCGATCGGTGCCGCACCTCTCTTCCTCCACCTCCAGCATCTTCCTGTAAGCATTGATCTCCATGTCTAGAGCCAACTTGACGTCCAGCAGGTTCTCGTAGTCTTCCAACTGAGTGTACATCTGGCTCCTCAGGTTTAGCAGCTCCTGCTCCTTGTGACCAATTCTCTGCTGCCAAACCTCCCGCTCCCGGTCTAAAGTCCTCTCCAAGTCCTGAAAGCGGCTTTCCAGCGTCATTTTCTGCCAGGGAGAGCAAGAATCATGTGAATACATGTAACACAAAGAAGAAGAGTTTGAAAACATCTGTGTGTCAAGACTTCATAACTACAAACTGTACCATACACAGCCTGAGAGTTAAACTAGGAACTATATTTAGATTTTACTGATCACTTTAAAGTCTCTGAATTACATTTTTTTTTTTAAATGCTGTCCCTAATGAGCCATGTCACAATCTTAGATCTTCAGGAAAAGCCCTTCTGGTCGGGTTAGGGTCAGTAAATTACACGCAGATCTAAACTTCCATCCCTCTGAGATTTGAAGGCAAACCTTTTTGTCAACTGTTCATCTTGATTTAACTCAAACAGTGTGAGCTCTCAAGTTGTGCCTGAGAATAAGGCCGTACACAGGCTTCCCACTCTTTAGCGGAGATTATTTTTAGGACATTTTCAGTGACAGTCTAGCTGGTATGACAGGAATGCATCTTGCCCATACACCAGTGGGCTCCAATGAGTGCTTTGAAGCCCATTTGTCTACAGCAAAAGACTTCCTGTCATTACAATTTGATCTTTGGGAATCTCCTGATACTCCTAGCCAGAGGAAGCCAGTCCTTGAATTGGGGATGTTCTTTACACAAATTTTTAAACTCGCACCATCTTTCTGTTTCTCACTCCTGTAATTAGAGGAAAAGTGTAATATGAACATTTCAGTATAAAGGACACATAGTTGTAATGTTACTTTATGACTCGTGTGGTTTTTCTTGGTAAAAGGTAAACGATAGATCATTGGGTTAGTGTGACCTGCGGTGTAAAGGGCTATGAGCAGTCAGCACATATGTTCCTTGGAGCTCCTGAGCTCTTGGGTCTTGTAGTTTCCTCGGGATTGTTGGTGAGGATGGCCTGCAGCTATGGACCCCCCGATTGATTGAATGATTGAGAAGGCTAGAAAAGCCTGTAGAGTGTATGCCCGGCCTTAGAATGAAAAATCATTCTGGTTCACTTTAAACATTCACTCTGAGATGTTTTAGTTAAGCCTTGCCAGGTTTATTTTGATTGTTGTCTCCTTTTTCTCTCCACCTGACATAAACTACGACAACAGGTATTTGAACAGCCGAGGTTTGAGTCAGAGCTGCACTTACATCTTTCTGATACTGCTGAAGCTGAGAGCTGAGGGTCTCCAATCTCAACTTGGTCGTTTCGAGTTCATCATTGGTGGCTGATGCGACTTCGTTTTTCTCCAGCGCAGCCTGCTGGGCATTCTGTAACTGTAGTGCAAAGAAACCAGGTTTAAATTAATGGTCAATAAATCAGGATCACTCTGAATGAGTCATCCAGTGTTAGTACCTTCAAACTGAACGTCTTGTCGATCTCTTCCTTATACTGCTGCAGCTGAGACTCGTGGTCCTGGCGGAGCCCCCTTATCGACTCGGACAGTTTACTCTCAAACTCTCTCTGTCTTCCAGAGTCCAGCTCGACCAGTTGGCTCTCATGTCGGCTTCGGATCTCAAAGATTTCCTACAAAACATGAACGTTGTACATTCAGACAGATGTAGGACATGTGTCTTTAGAACTCGTGCTTTAATATGTACGGGACCATTTTAAAGGGGAGAGTTGCTGAGGGGTCTCGCTCATCCTGAAGCAATAACAACCCGCTCACTATACACATCACTACATTATCTATACATTGTTTTACACAGCTACTAACTTAAGGAATAAAAAAAATAGAACAAAATATTTATTTGGACTTCAGGTATTTAAAAATAGTTTGTTTTTTTCATGACACAAAGCGGGTGTTAAATCGACATTTACAGCTGTTAACTCAGTGGCCTTCATAAAATTAACTAGAGATGCATCGATCCATCTTTCTTTTTTTTTTAGTTGTGATCAGATACAGATACATATTTTTTACATAATAGTGTTTTTGTTGTTGTTGGTATTATGTATCATGTGTGAGGCTGCACAAAGCTGTAGTAAACCTGACACTGCATTGTGCGGGCTTCACATACAAACAGGAAGCAGTAACAGCTGTCAGGTTTTTCAAATTAAAAGTTTTAAACTCAAGTGTAAGAAGTGTTACTTTTGATCATATAGAAGGAGCTGTTTCCATCTCGTCTGAACGTCGTCATGGAGACGATTTGTGGACACTTCTTACAGTTCAGTCTGGACGAGCTGAGAACGTTTAAAGTGACCAACCATCTCTCTCGATCGGTGATGTGGATCGGCGCCGTCAGTTCAATGTGTTAATTACTTCAATATTGGACGCGGTACCGATATAAGTAACGATCGGTCCCATCTCTATAAGGAACTTAATTGGCTTTTCATAACTCACATTATATTTAACCTGTCTTTAAACAAGCTAACCTAGACGTTATAACTCACAATGAAAAGAACATTTTCACTGATGAATCAGCACATCGCCTAAGAGAGATTTATTTTAATCTTATTTCAGAGTCTGTTGACATTTTCTTTTCCGTTCACAGGTTTTTAAACAAATCCATATCCCATAGAACTTTCTGTTATGTGCCATCTTTACTTTGGTACATTCCTCTGCCAAGGCGTTCAGTTTTCACCGCTGATATCCTCTCCCTCCTACTTTCCCCACAGTAAATAGACTCTACGTCAAATCAACTGAACTTCTTCACAAAGATTGATATGATAAAATGTAGTCCTCCAGAGTCTGTGCTAAGAGCTGGGTCCCAACAATTAGCTTCTCTTAGTAATTCAGTGTCCTTTTTAATAACGGTGATCTATCAGGGGATAACAGAGCAGACAGTCAATGATGATCACACTTCATACTGTTTTCATAGTTGGTTGAACGTATCATTAGATTGAAGTAAAGGCTTGTGATAGATCGTCCGTGTGTTTGTGGGCGTTACCTGCTCACTGATGTTCTTCTGGAGTTCAAGCTGTTCTTTAAGTGTTTGAACCTGGTTCTCCATCGCAACCCTCCTCAAGATCTCAGAGCTCAGCTGGTTCTTTGTGTCGGTAAGAACAACCTCCACCTAGTGACAAATATAATAAACACACACACACACCTGTGTAGGGTCACAGCAAATCAAAACTGTACTGAAAAATAATGACTGAAGAAAGTTTCAGAGTGCAAACATGATGGACACAACATGAGATCATATGTCATGTTGTGTCTGTACTCCACAACTAGATTTATACAATCAAGTGATCTGCACAATCAGATACAATACTCAAGATACTACTTCACCAAAATACAAGAAAATGAGCTTCAAGCCTCTTCTACAAGTGCCCCTAAAAATCCTTCAGTACTGAAGTCAGTGGCATTTTAAAATCAATCAATCAATCAATCAATATGCTGGACCTCAAATATTATATCCAAACTGTAACACAGCCACCTTCCACACGCCGGGGCTTTAACCTTAGACCGGCTTTAGTTTCATTTAATGTGCTTTCACTCTCAGCTCAACTACCCGGATGTAAAAGAGTGGTGAACCTATAACATCTTTTAGCTCACGGTGGTTTGGAAGTTCTATGATCAAGGAAATGGGATAAAGTTGCATGCATGCCATATTGACCAGAGAAATGCATAAGCACATTCAGAAAAGGCATGTGGAAGTTAACCTGCAAGGAAGACCAAAAGCTGGCGGTGCTAGCACTGCTAATGTTAGCCACACTCTGCAACCTAATCTGACTTCATTCTAACAGATGCAGTGCAGACTGTTAGTCTGAACTTGTGTTTGATCGATTTTGAAATGTGTTGTTTTCCTAATCCGCTGTGGGAGACTCTACTGCCTAACTCAAACAACAAACTATCAGCTGTCTGCCTCCCAAAACCAGTCAGGTTGGAAATTCCCTCAGTTAGGGTTTCCCCACTACATTTAAGAAATATAACTATGAACGAAGAGTTATGATGCAACAAAGAGTCGCGGCTGTGAACAGCATCTGATGAAGACCCCGGTCGGGCTCCACACGTCGTGTTCCTTAAAGCACATCGCAAATAAATAAGTTTATCTTTGGGAACCGTAGAGTTGAGATTCTTCGTTGCATCACAACAAGTGATTTTTTTCTGAATAAGTGACGTGTGTGTGTGTTCGCTGACTTTTCTCTGTAAATATTTAAAGGAGAACATTAACCCCTTAGAACGATCCCTGAGTAGGTCTCAGTCTCTCTCACTGAGTTAGAGCAGAGCATGTGATTGTCAGTTAACTATTCTCACAATAACAGACAAAAAACAGGGACAATGGACAGAGAGGAAATTGTCCATGAATGGATGAGAGCAGCTGCCATTGCCTCTCAAGGATAAAAAAAAAACTAATGTTATAAAACTAACTCCATGCATTGCTGATCTATCATGTCTCACTAAAATCTCATCTGTTAAATTGTAGTTCAAGGGAAGGTTGTTTTTCTAAATGAATCAAAAACCTTAATCTAAGTCTGAGATTTCCCACGGCACTGTGATGTCAAAGGAAATGTCAACGTTTCAGTTTCATGGAATTATCACATCATCCTCCTTTGGTCCAACTAGACATTTGTGTGAAATTGTCATAGTCAGCAAACGATTCTTGTGTACTCGTTAAAAAACTACTGAAGGACAGCCGGTCTGAAATGAGGCTAATCACAACACCACCTCAGAAAATCCATCTCCTCTTGTAACCTCAAACATGTTCATCAGATTACTGTTCATCTTCATGAAACTAAGAACTGAAAACTCCAAACATTTAGTCATGGGGCCATTTGTACCTAAAGTTAGCGTTAAACTTAATGGAAGTCTAAATTTACGTTCTGCAGCTGTCCCTGCAGGTCCGTGAAGTCTTCATTGAGTCTCCTGTTGTCAGACAGCAGCTTGGTGTACTCGGCGTCCTTGGAGCTCAGCGCAGCCTCAACTGTCCTCAACTGGGACAACGTGTTGGCCAGATCGCCCTCCTTCTTCTGGTTCCTGCAGGAGAAATCACAACGCGTCAATTTTGTGTTTGGCTGCTACTTTTGCCAGGTCTAAAGATAAGATGAGATAATCCTTTATTTATCCCACAACGGGGACATTTACATTGTTACAGCAGCAAAGAGCAAAGATTGCAAACATAAAGTGAACACAGTACAATTTAAATTAAAAAAAATAAATATGTACAAAAAATAGAGCCTAAAAAAATAGATTTCTCTTATGTAAAAAAAGATTTTTCATATAACAAGGGACTTCCTGGTTACATAAAAGTAGCTTTAAATACATGAAAATGCTCAACTATATTCTGCTTTCCCTATAAAACATGAAAACACATGATTTTTTTTTTTACAATTGGCAGAAGAAATTGCCAACACTGACTATAACCATCAGTTCTACATAAATAAGTAGATGTATCAGTTTTAAGAGATAATACAGAAAAATCATTTAAAAGCCTTGTTGCTACTGGGCTCTACACACCATGAGATTATTCACTTTTAAATCAGGGATCAGTGTGTTGGAGGAAATGTTTCAAGGCTACAATGAAGTGTATGCATGGGCGGTTCTAGGTAACTGGAACACTGAGCTTGGTCCCCCCAGAGGCCACAACTTTCAAAAGGAAGAGCCCCCCCTCATAACACACACACAGTATTTGACTCACGATCTAGTATTTAATTCTGTTACTGAAACAAATATAAATCATGGTATTTAATGATGGGCGCTAGTATTTGGCATTTTGTATTTTTTAAAGCGATCATCTTTGTCTATTTTTGACCTGGGTTTAATGTTCCCCTCTGACTGAGGGGCCCTAGTTTGGCCCCCCTCAGTAAAAGCGGTCTAGAACCGCCACTGAGTGTATGCTCTATAAACAACTTCTGGGCCCATTTAAAGATCATAAGGTCAAAGGTGAGTCATGTGAACCAGTGTGCAGTACAGGCAGGCCTTGATATCTTGAATATACTCCGGATAACACTGCGGCAACAATTCAAAGTCTTCATGTTGTTCAAGTGTGTGCAGCTTTAATGAGCCCTTATTTAAGTGGAGGCTGGATCAGCAGCCTCTCGGACACCTGCACGGCCATGCATTGATTTATTCTAAGACTTTTACCTTGCTTTAAGTTTCCTGTACTCCTCGTACAGATTTCCGTAGTCGATCTGCAGCCGGGCCCTCTCTCCGGCCAGGCCGTCCAGGGACTTCCTAACATCGGCCAACTCCTCCTCGTACAGCCGCCGCACGTTGCCCATCTCCCGGCTCTTCGACTCGTCTTTATCCTCCAGCTGGATGAGCATGGAGGACCTCTCACTCTCCAGGTCTTGGACCCGCTGGATATAATTGGCGAGGCGGTCGTTGAGGGATCGGAGCTCATCTTTCTCCTGGATGCGGGACAGCCGGGTCGGACTGGTGCTGGATGAGGGCAGGCCGGCGGCGGCGCTGCGGCGGCTGACGGAGCGGCTGGTGCGGCTCCCGGAGGCGGCAGGGGTGGAGGTGGCAGAGGCCATGGTGGTAGTCAGGGTCCCCAAGTGAACCAGGTAGCCTACTATACGTTATTCTGAGATTATACACCGGTGTGAGGTGCTCCCATGCGAACTAACACAGACATGCAGAGATATTTAAAACTCAATAAATCACGTGTAGCCTTAAACGCAGGTAAGTTTGATCTCTCAGCGCGCCACAAAGAAAACATCCATCCAGCACGGTTTACTGCTTAACTGGCCTTTTTTCCCGGAGTTTAAGGTGTTCACAGCTGAAAGAAATCAAATTTGACGAGTTGACGCACTCGGATAAGTAAAGAGCACCGTCAGCGTAAAATCCTCCTAAATGGAGCAGTACATTTCCTGTTGGGATTTTCAAACTAAAACTATTTTGCGTGCGCGTGGGAGAAGGATGATATAGAAACTGTTGAACATTATGGACAGTAACATGCATCCCTTACACGTATATCAAACTGTATTTTGCACACTTGACTCCTTTTTTTTTAAACATAATTCATTTATTTATCTATCATACTATGCACTGGCAGAGCTAGTGTTTTGTACTGTTATCTATGAGTAACAGCTACTTATGCACATAGACCATCCATACCACTTTTTTATCCTGGCTATGTATTGTGGGCTCATGTTTTTTTGTATGGGTGGGATATGTATGTGTATATGTGTTGTGTTGTGTTGTGTGTATGTATGCTGGCTGCTGGAACATCTACATTTCCCTGTTGGGATGAATAAAGTATGTCTTGTCTTTATCTTGTACTTTATACAAGAAGGAAATTCTAAATAATTTGTAAGTTTGCAGAAATTCCTCATTACTGAATATTGAACAGTTAGATATTGAGTCAGCTCAGTAAGGACAGTCAATGAGAACCTGAGTTTCCCTTATCCTTTAATTAAATGTTAGTCCTGGAGTGTATTATGTCTCACCTGTGCATGTCCAGTTCATTTTAATCTTGTTTTTCCACAAATAAAGAACACCACATAGGCTATGTGATCTATTGGCACATATAAGCTACCATTATGAAAGTGAAATATTTATAGAACAGATTAACAAAAATAAACTCTATGCAATTTAATTTAAAAAAAAAAATTGGTGTGAGCTTCAGTATATCCCAGAAATAAAAGGGGGGAAATGATAATGCACAAAAAACAGGCTTACAGTCTGTGATAGATTAATGTTTAATTTGCAAATTGAAATGTTTTGATCTTAGGCTATAAAGTTGAATGTGTGCAGGAAATTAATTTCACTTTGTTTTACTTAGTGAGACGTTTCCAACAACTTTACTTTGAAGGCAACACCGGATAAGCTCCATCGTGCTTCGATGTTACTCGGTATGACTTGACTGGAGGGAGTGAGCTCCTGCAGGACATCAGCTGATGGAGATGACTCGCTGTAAACTCGGATGTTTCTGTTACTTATCACGAGATTAAAATTCAGGGACAAGATTATGTTTCCTGAATTATCAAAGCAAGTCTTGAGCCTGTAAAATGAAATGTTAACTTTAATACATTCAGTCTACAAAACTACAGGCGTTCAGTGAAAACAGAAAACCCCACTTAGTCAAGTCTGTCGTTAAATATTTCTTGTGACACTATTTTTGATTTAACTAAATGAAGTGACATTTTGAGTCTATATTTAGACAATAGCTGTCTTTGGGGTTTTCTGTCTGTATGTAACTGCGCATATCTGGATGATAGAGGGCGCCAGTTCTCCATCATTTGGCAGCCTGATCTGCTCGGAGTTTGTAGAATGTGGCATCACTCTCTTCAAATGTAATATGGTTAATGATCAGTTGACTGGCTGCTTCTAAATAAATATGAACTTTTATAGGTCATCTCATTTTTAACTTAACAAAGTTGTGTCTTCTCCTTCATGACATTATAATGAATAATGCACCATAATAAAACATAACCTACCTTTCATCTAAAATCTGCTTCCCCTCAGCCTCTCAGTAAAATACTGGCAGCAGGGGCGATTCTAGGCTCTGTTGGGCCCCTTAGGCAAAAATTAATTGGGGGGCCCCTCCAACCAGCGTTCATTATTATTTTCCTCTTTCTCTTTTCACCCCCACACGGATAACTTCATTTTCCTTTATTGAAAAAATAACGGGAATAATGCCGCAATGCTTAGCAGGGCATTGAGAGAGGAGTGCTGTCACATGGGGCCCCCTTAGGCAGGTTTCCAATTGTCGTTGCAAGATTTGCCCATTCTGAGGCAATGCTATATGGTTTAAAGTTTGTCAGCTATTGCCCCCCCCAAAGACTAAACTCCACACCATGGGAGACCGGGCTTTCTGCTCCTCTGCTCCCAGTCTTTGTAATGCTCTCCCTGACCACCTGAGAGCACCACAGTCCCCCAAAACCCACCTCTTTATCAGAGCCTTTTGCTCGTGTTTTTAGTTTCATTATGACTTCCTGTTTTTATTCCCATGGTTTATTATTGATTGACATGTAAAGTGCATTTCAAGTAAAATGTATTATTATTATTATTTATTGATTCTGCAAGACATATTCTTATTAAAGTAAACGATCATGGAGCTCTTGCGTGCTGCACTTGTTGTCCTGGTAATGTACATTTTGAGAAGCAAGAGCGTTTGATGTTGTTACAGAGCCACATAGTAATGGAGTGTCTGTAAAATGAATTATTATCGCTAGAATTTTTCAAAGAATAACAAAAAGTAGGCCTATTGTTATTGAAACATTTGCATCCGTTTAGTAGGCTATAGGTACAAAAACATTCCATTGTTTAAAAAAATGTATGTGTGTGGCAATCAACCGGTGTTATGATGAATATGGCGGAGGTTATAAAGGCAGGATGTGGCGCAGGGGAAAGAAGGGACAATCAGAGTGCCACGGGGGAAAATAAAGAAAAGTGAAGCGCCAGGAACACGTTGCTGCAGCTGCTGTTATGTTCATAGTCTGTGTGGTTTAAAAGTGTTGGATAATGAAAGAAAGGAGCGCTGAAACGCCTCTGAAAGTGTCTGAAAGATAGACCGAAGACTCCCTCTGCGTCTCGTCACCATACGCATAGCGGGGCTGAGACAAAGACGGTCCGACTGACCGGATTATTCTTCCTCCTAGATCCTGCTGAGATCGCTTATTTTTTCTTCTGGTATACCAATGATCGATCGACTACCTTTGTTGGATTACTATTGTTACTTTTTTGGATGGACTGAGTTTGTTTTGGATGAGTGAACGGACACGTCGGCGGATGGCTTCCTTCTTTTTCTGTGGACTAAAAAGACAATTTGAAATTAACTCTCGTAGATCATAATGCATATTTCGTTTGTTTGGGACTTTTGGTTTATTTTGAATTCAACAGCACTGTGCTGCTAACCAAACAATTATTTTCCATAATGCGTGCGGCAACGGGAGTCTGTTATGTACATTGTCCAACCTGTAAGAATCCCAATACTGTAATTTAAGCGTCTACTATCTGAGTTCAAGAGTTCAAGATAAGCAAGCAATGTATTTATCTTCTATTGTTTTGTACCTTTTCAGTGTTTTCCCTACCATTATATTACTATTATGATGAAACAAATCACTTCCCTGTTGCACACACATGCTCTAATGAGCTTCAAATATTTGTCAACACAAAGAATCTGGCAGATGATGACGAGTTAGATTACCATTTCTCATGGCTCTCGTGAATGGAGCCATTTTTAGTGCAGTCTAGTCAAGAAAAGCACAAAACAATGATTGGTTGCAATAGCTTGGCAAAGACAGACAAAAGTCATTTCAAATAGATATGAGCAATCCATTGTAAAGTAAACAACAGTTTCTGTTTGTATTTGTTTATTTTCTGTTAAGACTTTTGATGTTGTGAATACGGTTTAGTCTTTCCAAAAGTCAGTTTGTAGTAGTTAGTCAAAAAATGTTCCTTGATTAATCTGTCAGTTTTTATAAGCCATAAAAAGGGCAAGATGTTTTTTACAACCAGAGCCAACAAAAAAATATAAATCTAAAGAGTATACGATCACATACATACTAGAATATGGCATTAAAGAAGTTGAAAACACCCATTGTTTAGTTGCCAAATGTATTTCATCATTTGCAGCCGTGTTCATGATTATGCTAACGAGTTAGTTACACAATCTTGTTGAATACAAATTCCTGCCCTCTGTTATATATATATTTTTCCTTTGTTACCACCATGTTCAGGAGGGTTTACTGTACCAACAAGTTCCTGCATGTCCTGCTGGTTAAGTGGGCAAAATAAGTGTTCTGCATGAGCAATTGAGTCGACTGTTCTTTCCTCATTTGCAGCTCTGGATGGTTCAGTAACATAAGATGTCAGGCTAGCGTGAGAAGCTGAACTGGGGTCCTGTTCCGTTCAGAGGAAATTGAATGGTTGTTAAATGCAGCTTTGAACTCATTCAATGTTTGGTTGATCCTGATGAACACATTATGAAGACAAATAAAATCTGATTCATTGTCTACATCCAAGGCCTCCCATTGATTCTAACTCATTGAAAGGGTTCTGGAACAGGAAAGAGCGCTTGCTAAAGTCCTGTCTGCTGACAAGAAAACTAGACCTCTTGTCCCCACTTGGCAGGACAAGAGGTCCTAGAGGCAGTTCAGAAAGCTCTGAAACCCCTTCAGGACTTCACTGACGCACTTTCAGGTGAGGAGTACGTGACCCTCTCATATGTCAGACCTGTACTACACCTGTTTAACTCCAGTCTCCTCGCAACTGAAGAAGGCGATCCCGAGCTGTGCAAATCGATAAAGACCAGCATTGTGGATTACCTCAACGCAAAATACGCAGATCCATGCACCAGTGACCTGTTGGACATCGCCTCTCTTGTGGATCCAAGGTTCAGGGCCAAATACATCGCGATTGAAAGATTGGATGCACTCAAGCGTAAAGTGGTCGAGGAGGCAGAGTCTCTGCTCAGGGAAGCTGTTCTGACCTCACTTGTGGTTGCATCCAATTCCTCAAAAGAAATGTTCGAAATTTTGTTGGCTTATGTTGTATTCCCTTATAAGCTTGTACAATGTTGGTCTGGAGATCCGCAGGACTGAAGCAACTTCGGAAAGTGATGTTCCTATAGCAGCAACAAACTCACCATGTCCTCTTTGGAAATGATGGTATGCCCCTCCTAAGAAAGAGAAGGGAAAGGCAGAGCCTTCACTAATACAATGACTTCTCATTTTGTCATGCACATAATGGAATCTCCTGAATAACTCCAGAGGTTAGGCTACCTGAAGGGGCTGTAGGCTATGTGTGAACGCAAACAGCCAAATTTTTCGCGCAGACATTACCCTGAGTTTCTCTTTATTCAAATATCATATTCACATTCCAAGGCCTCTCAAAGCAAGTTTTGATGGTAAGATCTTCCATATTAAGTGTATTTGTCCTATGAAACTTATCAACATCAGCAGAGTTTAATAACGGAGAAAAGACGGACATTAAAAAGACACTAAACTGGCCGTCGGACATTTAAACGGACTGTAAACATCTGTCAGTTTGTAAAGAGTCAGTCTGTGATGAGCTGGGATTAAAAAAAGTCTCTGACATGAGGAGTAACAACGAAATATGAAGCACAAGTTCTATAAAATCAACATAATGGAGTGTAGACCGATCTCTCCTGACTTTATATTTCATTTGTTTTTGATTCACTGGCAAACAAAAAGACTGTTAGTATGAAGTGTTCTAATAAAAAGATCATTAACGATTCCTTCATAACTATTACAGGTAGGTTATATTTCTTTTCATGATCAGTCAGACTGTCCATTTTAATTTATTATATTTTATTATATTGAGAATGAATGGCTGACAGCGTTGGAGTCGTCTGTCAGTCAGAAACACGTTTTACATTTACCATTATGTTAAAGAAGTTTTATATCAGACTGATCATTAATGATCTTCGTGTTTGAAAAATGTCACCTTTTTTTTCTCTATTTAAACTTAATAAATAATTTCCAGTATTCCTAGGACATCATAAAATATATTTGTTTACGAAATACAGAGTTTGTTATCAAATGATATATTGTATAGCATGCTACACAATTAAAATAAAACAATTTGAAAGACAAAAGAAAATCCATGTAGACGTCAGCTAAAGAACTCTCCGTTCAGCTCCACATTCTCCAACCAGCTCAGTCACTTCCTCAAATGGTGTTCAGGGTGGTATGTAAGTAAGCTATAGTTGTGTGCGGAAACGGACCGTTTAAAGATCTGGGGCTGTTTTCACAAAGCATCCTAAATACTAAGTTGCTCCTAGTGACAAAAGTCTAAGACAGTTCTTAAAATCAGGAATTGCTGCCCTCGTGTCAGTGTGCTGGTCCCAGCTGAAGCTGATCAGCAATCACTCCAGCTGTCTTCCCTTGTCTTGATTACCTCATGTGTATTTAGTCTGTGTGCTTCCTACCTCTGGTGCCAGTTTGTCTCAGTACCTAGTGTGAGTAGCATTCCAGCATTTTCTTAGTGACAGACTTCATTTGTGTATGACCTCGACTGTTTTTTGGACCCTGTTTTTAAAAAAAAAATGTTATTGGGCTTTTTATGCCTTTAATTGAGAGATAGGACAGTGAATAGAGTTGGAAATCAGGGAGAGAGAGTGGGGAATGACATGCGGGAAAGAAGCCACAGGTGGGAAGGGAACCCGGGCTGCCCGCTTGAGACGACGGTCTCCATACATGGGGCGTGCGCATTAACAACTGCGCCCCCTGGACCTGGTTTTTTGCCTGACAATGTTGCACCTCTGTCTACTCTCTTTGAGCATTCGTTCAGTAAACTATGTTGAACTTCCAAACCTTTTAAGGAGTTGTGCATTTTTGTCCACCGTTTGTGCCTAGCCTGACAATGGCCCGTTTCTGCACACAATAATCGCTTACGGCCATACCACCCTGAACACGCCCCTTTTTTCCAGCAGTCCAGAGTGAGTGTGAGAGAGCAGGAGCTTTAGTTGGTTTTTTCGTTTCAGTTAGGTCCTCCGTTTTAGAGTGTGTGTGTTCCCCCTAACAGTCACGGACTGTTAGGGGGAACATTTTACTTTATTTTATGTCGCTGTTCGTTGTTAGCATGTCGTTAACAAACTCATGAGGACGGACAACAAAGATGACGGGACCACGGAACGGTGACAAGGGTAAAGGCAAAGATGACGGACAAAAAGGACAGACGAACACAGGCATGGAGTAAACGACAAAGAGAAGGACGGATCAATACAGTTAACACAAACATTTGGTATAGATGCGCAAGGATGGATTTGGTACATTTGTTCGTTACATGTGCGGTAAAGTAGTATGAAAGGGGGTGGGAACGAAACAAAAAACTAAAATGTGATAAACATGATTTTTGCCTTTGCCAGACGAGCAATATTTAACAGATGTAACTTTATGCAGAATGAATGGATGGAGTATGTTTGTGAACGGATGGAGAGCACACCTTCAAAATGTTGCACGTGGCGAATGAGAGTGTGAATGTGTGCAGAGTTTCGTGGGGCTTGAAAGCACTTTTAAGTTAATTTGGGGTTTTGCTTTGTTTTCAGGGTTAGGGTTGTTTGTTTGTTTTTTGATTTGGTTAAAGTAGCACTTGTTTCCAAGGGGTGGTTTAATTTTGTATTAAAGTAAAATGGGGCAGGTGATAGGCCTTTTGCTCAGTAGCAAAAAATAAAACTAAATAGCAGATTAGTAATTTAGCAGAAAGGAAGCAGCTATGGACCCTCAGATGGTTAAGGAACTCTTAAACTTCAAGAAGAAAAACATCTTCCCTTCAAACTTTACTGAAAGTGAGTGTCATGTTCTGAAAAGGGAAGAGGATGTCATGATTTGGTCTCATTCAGTTTTGTGTTTCCATGTTTTAATTTCTCCTGTCCATCATTGTGTTTTTGTTTTAGTGTTTCATGATTTAGTTTTGTAGTTGTCCTCAGTGTTTCTTGTATTCCTACCTCTATGTGTTTCCCTCCATGTTGATTGCCCTGATTGTCCTCACCTGTGTCTGATTACCCCATGTCTATTTAGTCTGTAATTCTTCCCCTCTGTCAGTGGTGCCTTGTTTTATCCTGTTGGATTTTGAAGTTTTTTTTTTTTTAAATATTTTTATTTCTTCATTCTGCACTTGGGTCCAGTTCCTGATTTTCCACAACCTTAACAGAGGATTACCAATTAATAAGTCAAACTGTACAGCAGCACTGTGGTTTTGGTGCAAACAATTCTTTATTTTCATTCATTATGCACGTTTGTTTTTCAGCTTGACCCAATGGCCTACGATGTCCTCGTAGGATCAGTCTGTGACAAAGAGCACTGGACACTTGTTTGTGGTGAGTATTTATAGAACCATGTGTAGGAGGGTCCAGAAATGTGTGTGGTACTCTAGCATGATAATTAAATGTAATCATTCATCCGATTTTACATGACTTCACGTGTATGGTGAAGGTCATTTATCCAAAGGAGAAGCGGGCACTTTACATGGACCCCTCTGGCGATACAAAGAAGTGCAAGGACATGACTAAGGCAAGTTATACACCTGTTTTAACAATGTCATAAAAGGTTTTTAGTTACAAATGGCAACAATACTTTATATTCTACAGAGCTTTCTTGAGACGTGAACACAGCCACATCTCCCGGTGGGCTTGTGTTACAGTCAGCGAGACTCGACGTACTGTGGGGCTTTTGTCTGCAAGGTATGAGTGCAACTTAACCTTTTGTTGAGTACATCTATTGAATGTTACTGATTGTACTGTCTTGTATAGTTTGCAGAGCTTCTCCTAACTGGTGGGTTGCTGGATTTCTGTCCTGAAGAGGGAAATAGCTTGTCTGGTCACCTATTCAGGGTTTTTTCTTTTTCATTTCTGTCATTGTGTCATCATAAGCATGAGAAGTGTATTTATAAATTAATTACATGTGTGTTATGTGTTCGAAAACTTGTCAGACATATGCAGAGCATGTGGGAATGCATGCCAAAGTCCAGGGAGAAATAAAGATGACCATGATGACTGGGTAAGAATAAACTTGACACTTCTGTATGCTTACAAATCAAGTAATTCATTACTAATCTACTGCCATGCTTCTCTTCAGATCGTACAGCATGCAGTCTCTGGTTCCATTGGATAAGGACTTCCATTTTGCAGCATGTACACTGTGACAGGGGTCTGCAACAGGTAGCTCTGGAGCTACCGGTAAACCTAGATTTGATTTGAATTAAACTTTTGAGTGGACTGTACTTACTGTTTTATGTTTGTAAAAATGCAGTGCCTTTACTAGAGCAAATTAGTAGCTGTAACTATTCAGCAAAAATATGTGTTGTATTGAAATTTTCAAAGAGTAGTATTTAAATAAAAATGCACCGAAATAATCATGTTAAGTAACAAATGATTTTAAGTACCATTAAATAAAGTGTATTTGTTCAAGTGAACTAATGATTTTAAGTACAGTCTACTTATGTTAGCTTGTTTTGTCTGCTGCAGTCAATTAAGGTTCTTCGTTATTGTAGTAAAGATCACTATTTGTTCACCATTTTGTTTCCTTTCACACTTCCTGGTTTCTCACTCTCTCCTCTCCCCCTTGATTGGTTGTTGTTTGCACACTGTCACTAATTAATTACCGTATTTTCCGTACTATAAGGCGCACTTAAAAGCCTTTAATTTTCTCAAAAAACGACAGTGCGCCTTATATATGGATCAATTGGTTAATTGGTTGATCCATACTGGTTGTACACGGCGCTCAGCGACACTGACTCGGATAATGACGAGAGGGAGCCGGGCATGTTGGATGCCGTACTCGCCCAACTGTTCAATTCGGACACTGAAGAAGAAGAATTCGAGGGATTCGTGGACGGGGAATGAACTGAAAAAGTGAGCTTTACGTGTTATACGTAACTGAACAATGTTGAGTTATGCACTAACGCAGGGGTGCCCAACCTTTTTTGAACCAAGATCTACTTTTAAAGTTACCAGTCTGCCGAGATCTACCAGTCCACATAGTGAGCCATAGCCTTTACCAACAGCCTACAAACGCATTTAATACTCACACAACAAACAGAAAATAATAAATGAGAGTTCTGTAAAAAATAATGCAGACTACAGACTACAGCAGGCTGCTGTGAGATGATTTTGCTTTTGTTAAATTAGCTGCAGACACGGTGAGAGTGAACGGAGTAAAGTCCAACCGACTGTTTGACCGGGTCACGTGTGTTCCCACCTCGGTCCGTACGGATCACGGATCAACTGTGTGCTGTAGCACTAAAAGTAAAAAGGTTCGAGTGGTGGCTGGTGCTCCAGTGCAAGTGTGTGTGTGTGTGCGTGTGCGTGTGCGCTGTATGTTGGTGTGTCTCGTGCCCCGCGATGCTCACAGTCATGACAGCAGAGAGGAGCAGAGAAAAGTAGCTGCAGCTACATCAAATGCGCTTAATACTCGTAGCATAGTTTCTATATATGACTTTTTGGTAAAACATTTACCCCCCCGGTTTTACCTGCACGTCCTTGCGCGCGCTCTCTCTCTCTCTCTCTCTCTCTCTCTCTCTCTCTCTCTCTCTCCCCCGCTCGCTCTCTCATGCACGCAGCAATTTCATGAATAAATGAAAAATTAAATACACACAGGTCGGAAGTATACTTGGGCTCCCAACACAGGTATCGTGTGTGGGAAACAGTGCAATGAGATGAAATTGAAATCACTTTTCTATTTTACAATTGTATTTTATGTTGACAAAACATCTCGATCGACTGAGAATGAGTCAGCGATCTACCTGTCGATCGCGATCGACTGTTTGGGCACCCCTGCACTAACGTTTGAATTAGCGGTATCAGACTGTGTTTCTTTTACGTGTTTACAACTGAACAAGGCTGGGAGATATTGTGAATATGCACATTAACGTTTGAACAACGTTGAGTTATTGTGAATGCACTACGTATAAAACTACGTTTTGAGAGTTAAGAGAAACGTCAAAGAAATAATTGATTATTTGGGGAAATCGTCTTATGTACTTTTGTTTTTGTAGTTTTATACGTTACGTTTTATACGTATTTATATTTATATATTCACAATATCTCCTAGCCTTGTTCAGTTGTAAACACGTTCTATTCTATGCGCCTTATAATCCGGTGCGCCCTATATATGAAAACAGTTCTAAAATAGGCCATTCATTGAAGGTGCTCCTTATAATCCGGTGCGCCTTATAGTGCGGAAAATACGGTAGATTGAATTCACCTGCCTACTCCTTATTTAAGACTGCACTCATCATCACATGGGGCGGCAGTTCAGTAATGCATGGATGTTTCAATTCCATGTGTGTCTTATGATTCACCTAACTTGAAAGAAAATAAACCTGTTACAAGTCTTGTTGGATTCCTGCATCCTGACCCGATGCCCCATGGTGATAGCACCTCAAATTTGAACCCTTCTTTACAGTTATTACAACTAAACCACTGTAGTTTTGGTCACGAACAGTGTTGAAAAAACAAAGGAGGTGGACCCAATTTTGTCATCTCAAAACCATTATGATTTTCTCTTTTGTCAAAATGAAATCCAAATCATGTGTGGTGTAGTCTTTGTGTGCCATGTCTAATGACCTATATCAAAGCGTAGCACCGTTATGTTTACATATATCAGGGCACTGGTGGCACAGTGGTTAGTGCACGCGCCCCATGTATGGAGGCTGTCGTCTGAAGCAGGCAGCCCAGGTTCACCTCCCACCTGTGGCCTCCCTCCCATATATCACTCCCCACTCTCTCCCCCCCGATTTCCAACTCTGTCCATTAAAGGCACAAAAAGCCCAAAAATAAATCTTTAAAATGTTTTCATATATCTAGATCTATGGTGCCTTGCCCTCAGTTTACCAAATGATGATAGAAATAGAACAAAAAAACATGTTCAAAATATAAATGTATTTGGCCACCTACAATTTATAATAATGGGGGAAGCAACAGACACTGGAGAAAGTTTGAGTTGTTTTATTTTTCAACAACATACTTTCATCCAGCTGTCGGTCAAGCAATTTGAGCTCTTCAGCAGCCTGTCCGCAATGTCGGTCTGCAGGTATCACTTGTACACACAACAGACACTTTCTCTTGGTCTCTGTCTGAAATACATCAGTCATTGAGTTGTGTGTAGGTCAGATACTAACTCAAATATCTTCTCACTGGGGCGCAGTGGTTAGTGCGCACGCACCATGTATGGAGGCTGTCGTCTCATGCGGGTGGCCCGGGTTCACATCCCACCTGTGGCTTCCTTCCCACATGTCTTTCCCCTCTCTCCCTGATTTCCAACTCTACCCACTGTGCTATCTCTCCATTAAAGGCACAAAAAGCCCCCCAAAAAATCTTCTCACTATGTGAGTATCAAATATTAATCACTGCTCCATTTCTACACTGTTGGTCTGACAGTGACACTGGAAACTTGCAATCACTTCCCAAACTGCTCATTTGGCCTTTGCTGATGCAGAGGTGTTTGATTTGTCTGTTCATATGTTCTTTAAGTTTTCATATTCTTCCTTGATGTTCAAGTTGTGTCATTTGCCGTGAATTCATCCGTTTTGGGCCGATTGACTGAGGTTGAGCATCGCTGCAGCTGCTGCACATGTGGAGAAAATAGCAGTTAGGATAAGTGCATACGTTTTCATTGAAGTTGTTGCAGATAGGAGTTGAGTTTAAATGATGCACCTGTTGCCCCCCCTCTGTCGATGGGTGACTGGCTAGTGGACATGGAAAAGGGCTTAAACAGATGCTGCTGGAACGGTATGGAAGAGCACAGCTGGGCAGAGTGCCCTGGAACCCTGCACGAGTTGCAGGAGAGGACCTGCATGCCTCCGGCGACCATCACTAAGAGTTCAGTGTCCACCCAGTCCAGGCGGGTGTTGTGCTGAGCTTTATATAAGGTTGCTTTTATATAGTATTCAGAGACAACACAAGTGAAGACCGATCTCCTCTTTTTCAATCAGGCATTTGAGGTGGTACGGTCTTGCTTCTCTCCAGCGGTCTGAGACTTTCTGCTGCCGACAGAAGAGGGGCACCTGAACAGGATGCCAGAAGAGTGGAGAGCCTCTCCATAGTTTTTTCTGGAAAGAAAATATGAACTTGAGCTATAAAGAACTATTGGCATGATAACCAAATGCAACTAAATCTAAAAAAAAATAAAAAAACATTTGGGCTCTTCACTGCTACACTATATGCCATGCCAGGGGTTCTACAACTTTTTTGGCTTGTGTACCCCCTTTAAAAAATAATTTCAGCCAAGTACTCCCTTGTGTGGCTAAGAAACATTTTCAGGAAATAAAATGGAAAAAGAACATGAATAAATGTATTCAATGTTATGTGCTTTACAGTGTCATAATAACATTGAAATGAAAGATGACACAAATTCTATAATTTTGTGGTGCTATATTTTTCAGAAATAATTAAAGATTGAGGCAGCTAGTACCTTTGATGGTCCAAGGATCTCACCGATTTATTTCTGTCAAGTAAGAAGCATCAAAATGAATCACGGTTACAAAATGTAAAACACGTTTCTTTTTTTTTTAGTGCATTTCTTTTCCTCTCCTTATCTCTCTTCCCATTGACAAGGAACCCCACCATTTGTAAGTTATTCATGCATATTAGCCTCATATATACTGTACCTGTATTCATTTTTTTTATATTTCATGCAGGATACTCTGTCATGAATGTCTTCGAGCCAGTCATCATTATGGAGCACGAAACCATAATTGGAGGTTTCAAGTGCCTGTATTGGTTGGTAAAAAAATGAGATATCCCACCACACCAACTACAGCAAGCTGCTTAGTTTGGCCCAGCTCCTAGGCTGTGACTATTTCCTCAAACTGAAAGTAAATATTTACAGCAAATATTACAACTTTGCATTCATTCAGGCCTTATATATATATATATATATATATATATATATATAACTCAATATTCTTTCCCAGTGAAAAAATACATCATTTACATTGTCTGTTTCTAAGGTTGATCGCAGGGACAACTATCGTTCTCATCGAATAATCGATGATATGCTGGAAATAGTTTGAACCTTCATTGAGGAGCCGCTGACTACACTCTTCTCCTCTGTCGTCCCCCGATGGTGGAATGAACTTCCAAACTCTATTTGATCTGCAGAGTCCCTTTGCACCTTTAAAAAAAAACTAAAGATCCTAGATCCTTGCTTGTGTTGTACTTACTCTCTGATGTACGTCGCTTTGGATAAAAGCATCTGCTAAGTGAATTGTAGAATTCTAGAGCTAATGAGAGCATCACCATCCATCAGTCTGGAGCTGGACGAAAGCGCAGACATTTCCCTGCATCGTCAGCTTGATCTACACATCAGGTAAGAACATATCTTTGGTGGACCCTGCTCACAGTGCAGTCTGTCCTATAAGAGTCAACACTGACTAAGTTTTGTAAACATTTTCTGCATGAATATGCACACTTCCAGCTTCATACAC